CGGCGACGCGCGCGACAGCTCCGCCGGCCGGGGAGCACCGCGGCCACCTGCGACGCGCCGCGGCAGGTCCCTCACACCTCTGACTCAACAGAAGCCGCCACACGACTCAGCAGCTGCGTCTCCGCCCGGCGAGTAGCGGCAAGCGCACAAGCGGGACGGGAAGAGCGGCGGGGACGGCGCGATCGCGCTGGAAACCTCAGCCGGTCTTCTCACAGCCGCACTCTTCCGCGGCCCGACTCTGGCGCCGGCCCGGCTTCCGTAGTCCCGCCCCGGCCCCGCCCCCAGCCTGCGTCCCGGAGAGCTCTGGTCTCCAGGCCCGCTCGGGCGAAAACTGCCTGAGCCCTGGCGGGAGCGCTGTTCTCGAACAGATCCGCCTTTCTTTTCCTTCCTTTCATTCTAATCCTGACGCTGGCGCGCGACGTTCTTCAGCTCCTAGGCAACCGCTACGCCGACCCTACGTCGGTTGTCGCGCCTTGCCCTCGCGGGCACCTTGGCCACTGTTCCCACGCCTTCCCCTCCGCTTCCACGGCGATCGGAGCCCGAAACGGCCGCGCGAAGGTCCCCCGGCGGAGCTGCCCTCCTCCCCGGATCTCCGGCCGCCGGGGCGGCCCTCTGCGGCTCCGGGAGGATGCCTGCGCCGGCCGGTCTGGGCGCCTCCGGAGACTCAGGAAGCCCGGCCAAGGCTTGGCTGCCCCTGGGAACGGAAGGTCTTCTGACCCTTGGCATGATAACTTCTCCCGACGTAGTTAAGAGTCAGACACACATGATCTAGCAAGATACAGCAAGGCTGTAACAGGGGGCATCCTCTGGAGAAAAAGATTTAATTACCTTTTTCTCTGAACATTTTTATAAAATTGTGTCCAGAACTGGTAACCACTTTCCTTCTGCTTTACATGTCTATAACTCTGATAATGCTTAATAATAAAATTATGTTCTCTGTATTGGTACGAAGCGGGTTTTGTTGGCACTTATTTTATTTCCCTCACACTAGTATAACACTTCGCCCGTAGCAAACACTCTGTAAATATTTGTAGAGAGAATGAGTTAAGAATCCATGGTGAGGGCTGGGGATTTAGCTTAGCGGCACAGCGCCTGCCTGGCAAGCTCAAGGTCGTGAGTTCGATTCCCGGTACCGGGGGGGAAAAAAAAAAAAATTCATGGTGTAGGCAGTTGAGGTGACGGAGTCCAAGTCTGGGCCTGGAGAACCTCAGTCTAGTGGAAAGGACCCCTGATAAGTCTGAGTACAGGGCTACACTGTAAACAGTCCAAAAGAAGTCCGTACAAGAGAATCAAAAGTAGGAGCCCAGCCTGGAAAAGTTAGAGACTTAGTGGGACCCTGTCTCAAAATAAGTTTAAAAAGGTCTGGAGATGTAGCTTAGAGCAAAGGCTGTGAGGTCAGTCCTCACCATCACCACCAAAAAAGAAAAAGACAGACAGGGAGGGAGAGACTTGGAGAATTTCTAAGATGGAACGGTTGGGCTCCAGTTTTTTGAAACTACCATTGAAATGTCAGTTCAGTTACTATGCAAAATTAAGGTGTAATCAGTATAGGACATAACAAAGTTCTTATCCTTTCCCACTGCTTCTCAATAGTCTTCAGTGGCTCCATTCTCACTTTAGAATAAAATTGCTTTCCCAGGGTTCAAGTACCTTATCTATTAATCAAATCAGGGCATGCCCCATCTGACTTCAAAGGCAAAAAATTGCTTTGTAGCTGAAGGTGCATCTGTTGAAGGCCAGACCTCAAGATAAAGATGGAATGACCAGGCTTACATGCTCCTCAAGAGATAAGCAATAAATTAAAGATTACACTATAATTGGTATCACCCCATCCAATAAAATCTAGATAGACATCAGTTACCCAGGTGGGTGACCAGGACCTCCTGATCCATCTCTTCCTAAAAAGGTCCTTGTTCTTTCCAGGTACATTTACAGTGTGACCTGCTTCCCCAGTGGATCAGAATTACCAAGCAACTATACTTGTAGTCTTATTGATTGGTCATAGTTCTGTCCCATGTTGTGCCTACCTCGTGATTTTGTACCCACCTCGTGTTTTTACTCTATACAACTCCCTTTGAGAAGTGGGCTCACTGGCAACTCACTTTCACCTCCCCTCCTGTCTCTCAGGAACTATCTCTAAATCTTTCCTAAACTTTCGTTGTTCCTCAGAAGTCATTCTTAAATTGGGGGGAACACGAACTCAGTGTATCTGACATTTAGCAGGCTGGGAGTTACTTCTCCTTTATCACTTTTTTTGTTTTGTTTTTTTTCCGGTACCATCCTTTATCACTTTTATTGTTTGAGAACTAATTTCTTTTTAGCATGAAATAAGATTGCAACCTATGGATATATCACAGTTTATCCATTCACTTACCAAAGGTAGTCTTGATTGCTTCCAAGTATGGCGGTTCTTTGTTTCTGGAGACAGGCTCTCACTGTGTTGCCAAAGCTGGGCTCAAGTGATTCTCCTGCCTTAACTTCCCAAGTGGCACAGACCACAGGTGCATGCCACCATACTGGCTTGGCAGTTGTGAATAAGGATACTGTGAACATCTGTGTCCAAACCAGTGAGCACATTTGCTGGCTCTTATGCTAGAGGTATGCTTAGTTTCATCAACAACTGCCAAACTGTCTTTCAAGTGGCTCTAGCATTTTCCCCCGCCAGTAGCAATGAAGGAAAGCACCCGCTGCCGCCCATCATTAGTACTTGTTTTGGATGTTACCATTCTAGTAGCCTTCCACACATTCAGGAACTATTGTGAAAACTAGGTTTGCAAACAACATTTTAAGGAAGTTCAGATAGAATATTTTTGAAACCTCAGGAAGCACACAGATTGAAAATTATTAGTCTGCTCTGACACTATTATTTTGCAAAAAGGAAACACCCTGAGAACACTGTACGTGCTGACCCAAAAGAATGTGGAGGCGTATAAGATAGTGAGAGGCCGACAGCCCTTTGACAATAGTCGTAGGATCAACCTTCAGGGACAGAGAACTCATCCCTGGTCCCCTGAATCTTTTTTGTTTGTTTGTTTTTTGTTTTTCTTCCAGTACCAGGAATCACACTCACGACCTTGCGCTTGCCAGGCAGGCGCTGTGCCGCTGAGCTAAATCCCCAGCCCCTCCCCTGAATCTTCCCGACTCACAATAACCCACGGTGAAATGTTTGTTAGCTGATTGTTTAATAAATACGCCTCACAAATGGAAATGGAGGGTTGGGAATCGAATTAATAGACACATTTTATACCTATGTGAAATGTAAACAAATTTCACCACCTTCCTCTCACATGAAACATTAGTAATATCTCCAGAAGATCCCACCCTCATGGTAGACTGGGCCTGGAAACCAACAGCTGTCTGAAAAATCATGTTTTTTTTAAAAAAATTCTTTGTTTATTCACTGTGTTGCTTCAATAGGGTACATTTGAAATCAAGGGTGGGATGATACTAATATATTTTTATTTAAACTCCACAAATACTTGAGTACCTATTGTTCCATTCGAGGCTTTTGTTTTGTCCTTTTTTTTTTTTTTTTTTTTTCTTGCTTGGTTTGCATCCAGCATTTTATGACCTGGGGAATGGAGCAGAAAGTGTAAAAATACACTGTTACATTCTCACCAACACTCCACCCCGCACACACAAAACACAACCTAAAAGAATTCCATTCCTTGTTCATCCACAAGGTGGCATAACTGCACTTCTGTTCTTTTTTCCTGACACCCGCGGAAATGCAAAGGGAAAAGCAATGTTGGGAATTAGATTGCCTTCATCAGCCACTGGGTCGGGCACAGGGGGATTCTGTATTTAGATAGGTTGGCCTGCTCGTTGCTCCAGGCACTTGGATTTGGTTCTTTGGTCAGGCATAACCATCACACTCTGCCTTGTCCCTCAGTCACAGAAGCATTTGATAGACAGTACTCATTCGGAAAGTTAATGCTTTGGGATGCTTCCTTTGAATGTATGTTTCACTAAAGAAAGATGAGATGGAGAAGAGAATCTATAGTATACTACAAAAAACTTCAGAGTTCTTTCCCACTTTAAAAAAATGTGAGAGGCTGCCTGAAGAGAGAGGAGCAAACTATTTCCACACATGGAGACTCTGATTCCCCTGGATTCCCACAGCACACCGTAAGGGCTAGTTGCATGCAAAGAGGACTCTAAGGGAAAATTTAGGAACATGAATGCAGAAGCAGTCAGAAGTAATCTCAGGGAAGGCATAGGTCCTGAAACTACTGGGGAGGGGGCCTTGGTTCCTTGATTAGAGATTTGAGCAATCATTCTGGATCCCTGTCCCTCTACCACCTGCCATGGTCCCCATCTCAGAAACAATGGTCACTTCCCACTCTGCATCCCTACAGGGACTCCTCACCAGACTCCCTTGCCCATTGAAGGTCCAGATGCAGACTAAGCATGTCCAGGGACCTGAGCTTCGATCCCCAATACTGAAAAAGGAAGGAAAAAAAAAAAAAAAAAAGAAAGAAATCTCTTTATCCATGGCCACTAGATGGTGTTTATAGCCTTTTAATTGTAGATTTCAGTCATTTACTAAACTTCTGTGAGTTCTGTACCAAGAACACGTTTTTAATGTTACCTGTCTTTTGTGCAAGTTTGCTATTAAAATATATTAAACTATTTGAAAATGAATTAATTTGAATATGTGAATGTATGAATATTAATTAATTTGACTATATGATATGTGCATAGGGTATAGAATGAAAACTTAGCTGTTCCCACCACTGCCACCATCACCATTACCACCCTCTGTCACCACCATCTTTCCCTCTGACACCACATTTTTCTCCTTGGAGATCATCACAGTTACCAGTACTAGTGAAATTTTAATGAATAAAAGAATCAGTTTGTACAGAAAAATAGCATACTCATAACACATCTGCAGTAAGAAAAGAGCAGATAATGATACTGAACATTTTCAGGCCTCCTAGAGATGGAGATTCGGCAATTCTCCTAGGAGTAAATAAGCTGTGAGAAAGTTCAGTAAAGTGAGTAGAAGGCCTGTGATGTTCTCATTAAAACATCCAGTGTAGAATGGGAAGTTCATTGAGGTAATTTTTTTTGTTTTTCTTTATGTCTACATACAATCTGAAACAATTTGTTAGTAGATCAAAGGCTTGCTTTTCCTTGAACCATAGAATTAGTTCACAGTGCAATTTAACACATGGGAACTGTTGACATTTTCCTTTCCACTTCGCAATCATAGGCAGGTGGTAGAGATTGCAAAGA